GAACTAATCCCACGACTGGTCACATCTCCTGAGAGAGGATCTGACTTACACCCTGACACTCTGTTGTTGATGTTGTTGATGTTGTTGTTGATGTTGTTGATGTTGTTGATGTTGTTGTTGATGTTGTTGTTGATGTTGTTGATGTTATTGATGTTGATGTTGTTGATGTTGACATCACAGGAAGAACTGATCCCACGCCTAGTCACATCTCCTGAGAGAGGATCTGACTTACACCCTGACACTCTGTTGTTGATGTTGATGTTGTTGATGATGTTGTTGATGTTGTTGATGTTGATGATGTTGTTGATGTTGTTGATGATGTTGACATCACAGGAAGAACTAGTCCCACGCCTAGTCACATCTCCTGAACGAGGATCTGACTTACACCCTGACACTCTGTTGTTGATGATGATGTTGTTGATGTTGTTGATGTTGTTGATGATGTTGATGTTGTTGATGATGTTGACATCACAGGAAGAACTAGTCTCACGCCTAGTCACATCTCCTGAACGAGGATCTGACTTACACCCTGACACTCTGTTGTTGATGTTGTTGTTGTTGATGTTGATGATGTTGTTGATGATGTTGTTGATGTTGATGTTGTTGTTGATGTTGATGATGTTGTTGATGATGTTGACATCACAGGAAGAACTAATCCCACGCCTAGTCACATCTCCCGAACGAGGATCTGACTTACACCCTGACACTCTGTTGTTGATGTTGTTGATGTTGTTGTTGATGATGTTGTTGATGTTGTTGTTGTTGTTGATGATGTTGATGTTGTTGATGTTGATGTTGTTGATGTTGTTGTTGTTGATGATGTTGATGATGTTGACATCACAGGAAGAACTGATCCCACGCCTAGTCACATCTCCTGAGAGAGGATCTGACTTACACCCTGACACTCTGTTGTTGTTGATGTTGTTGATGATGTTGATGTTGTTGATGTTGTTGTTGATGATGATGTTGATGATGTTGTTGTTGTTGATGATGTTGATGATGTTGATGATGTTGATGATGTTGTTGTTGATGATGTTGTTGATGTTGACATCACAGGAAGAACTGATCCCACGCCTAGTCACATCTCCCGAACGAGGATCTGACTTACACCCTGACACTCTGTTGTTGATGTTGTTGTTGATGATGATGTTGATGTTGTTGTTGATGATGATGTTGATGATGTTGTTGTTGTTGATGATGTTGATGATGTTGATGATGTTGATGATGTTGTTGTTGATGATGTTGATGATGTTGACATCACAGGAAGAACTAGTCCCACGCCTAGTCACATCTCCTGAACGAGGATCTGACTTACACCCTGACACTCTGTTGTTGATGTTGTTGTTGATGATGATGTTGATGTTGTTGTTGATGATGATGTTGATGATGTTGTTGTTGATGATGTTGATGATGTTGATGATGTTGATGATGTTGTTGATGATGTTGTTGATGTTGACATCACAGGAAGAACTAGTTCCACGCCTAGTCACATCTCCTGAACGAGGATCTGACTTACACCCTGACACTCTGTTGTTGATGTTGATGTTGTTGATGTTGTTGTTGTTGATGTTGTTGTTGTTGTTGATGTTGTTGTTGATGATGTTGATGATGTTGTTGATGTTGTTGATGATGTTGACATCACAGGAAGAACTGATCCCACGACTGGTCACATCTCCTGAACGAGGATCTGACTTACACCCTGACACGCTGTTGTTGATGTTGTTGATGTTGTTGTTGTTGATGTTGTTGATGATGTTGATGATGTTGTTGACATCACAGGAAGAACTAGTCCCACGCCTAGTCACATCTCCTGAGAGAGGATCTGACTTACACCCTGACACGCTGTTGGCGAGCCGCCTGCAAGTACGAGCAGAGGCTCAAGAAGGTTCGGTACAAATAATAATAATACTCACCATTACTACACTCACCACTACTCACCATCACTACACTCACCACCACTACTCACCACTACTCACCATTCCTCATCACCACTACTCACCATTCCTCACCATCACTCACCACTACTACTCACCATTACTACTCACCACTACTCACTATTACACTCACCACTACTCACCATTACTACTCACCACTATTCACCATTACACTCACTATCACTACACTCACCATCACTACTCACCACCACTCCTCACCATCACTACTCACCACTACTCACCACTACTAGACTCACCACTACTCACCACTACACTCACCACTACACTCACCACTACACTCACCACTACACTCACCACTACTCACCACTACACTCACCACTACTCACCACTACTCACCACCACTACACTCACTCTTCCTCTGTCTCTCTCTGTCCCTCTCTGTCTCTCTCTGTGTGTCTCTCTGTGTCTCTCTGTCTCTGTGTCTGTGTCTCTCTGTGTCTCTGTGTGTCTGTGTGTGTCTCTGTCACTCTATCTCTCTGTGTCTGTGTGTGTGTCTATGTGTGTGTGTGTGTCTCTGTGTGTGTCTGTGTCTCTCTCTCTCTGTGTGTCTGTGTGTGTGTCTGTCTGTGTGTGTGTGTGTCTGTCTGTGTGTGTGTGTCTGTCTGTGTGTGTGTGTCTCTGTGTGTCTCTCTCTCCATGTCTCTGTGTCTATGTGTGTCTTTCTGTATCTCTCTGTGTCTCTGTGTGTCTGTGTCTCTCTCTCTCTGTGTCTCTCTGTGTGTCTCTCTGTGTCTCTCTCTGTGTGTCTCTCTGTGTCTCTCTCTGTGTCTCTGTGTCTCTCTGTGTGTCTGTATGTCTGTGTGTGTCTCTCTGTGTCTCTCTGTGTCTCTGTGTGTGTCTGTATGTCTGTGTGTCTATGTGTGTCTCTGTGTCTCTGTGTGTGTCTGTATGTCTGTGTGTCTATGTGTGTCTCTGTGTCTCTGTGTCTCTGTATGTCTGTGTGTCTGTGTGTCTCTGTGTCTCTGTCTCTCTGTCTCTCTGTGTCTCTCTCTCTGTCTCTTTGTCTCTCTGTGTCTCTGTGTCTTTGTCTCTGTGTCTCTGTGTCTCTGTGTCTCTGTGTGTCTATGTGTCTATGTGTCTCTGTCTCTCCTTGTCTGTGTCTCCGTGTGTCTATGTGTCTCTGTCTCTCTGTGTCTCTGTGTGTCTGTGTGTCTATGTGTGTCTCTGTGTCTGTGTCTCTCTCTGTCTCTCTCTGTGTCTCTCTGTGTCTGTGTCTATGTGTCTCTGTGTCTCTGTGTCTCTGTGTGTGTCTGTGTGTCTAATTGTGTCTCTGTGTCTCTGTGTGTGTCTGTATGTCTGTGTGTCTGTGTGTCTATGTGTCTCTGTGTGTCTCTGTGTCTCTGTGTGTCTGTGTGCCTCTGTGTGTCTGTGTCTCTGTGTCTCTCTCTGTGTCTCTGTGTGTCTGTGTCTCTGTGTGTGTCTGTATGTCTGTGTGTCTATGTGTGTCTCTGTCTCTCTCTGTGTCTGTGTCTCTGTGTGTCTGTCTGTGTGTCTCTGTGTCTCTATGTCTGTGTGTCTATGTGTGTCTCTGTCTCTCTCTGTCACTGTGTCTCTGTGTCTGTCTCTCTGTGTGTCTGTGTCTGTATGTCTGTGTGTCTCTGTCTCTCTCTGTCTCTCTGTGTCTGTGTCTCTGTGTCTCTGTCTCTCTGTGTCTCTCTATGTGTGTCTCTGTGTCTCTGTGTCTGTCTGTGTCTCTGTGTCTCTGTCTCTCTGTGTGTCTGTCTCTCTGTGTCTCTGTCTCTCTCTGTGTGTCTCTCTCTCTCTGTCTCTCTCTCTGTGTCTCTGTGTGTCTCTGTCTCTCTGTGTGTCTATGTGTATCTGTCTCTCTCTGTGTCTTTCTCTGTATGTCTGTGTGTCTATATCTCTGTCTCTGTGTCTCTCTCTGTGTCTGTCTGTCTGTGTGTCTATGTCTCTGTCTCTGTGTCTCTGTATGTCTGTGTGTCTATGTCTCTGTCTCTGTGCCTCTCTCTGTGTCTCTCTGTGTGTCTGTATCTCTGTGTCTCTGTGTCTCTGTCTCTCTCTGTATGTGTCTCTCTGTCTCTCTCTGTATGTCTGTGTGTCTATGTCTCTGTCTCTGTGTCTCTCTCTGTGTCTCTCTCTGTATGTCTGTGTGTCTATGTCTCTGTCTCTGTGTCTCTCTCTGTATCTCTCTGTCTGTCTGTGTGTCTATGTCTCTGTCTCTGTGTCTCTCTCTGTATGTCTGTGTGTCTATGTCTCTGTCTCTGTGTCTCTCTCTGTGTCTCTCTCTGTGTCTCTCTCTGTCTGTCTGTGTGTCTATGTCTCTGTCTCTGTGTCTCTCTCTGTATGTCTGTGTGTCTATGTCTCTGTCTCTGTGTCTCTCTCTGTGTCTCTCTCTCTGTGTCTCTCTCTGTCTGTCTGTGTGTCTATGTCTCTGTCTCTGTGTCTCTCTCTGTATGTCTGTGTGTCTATGTCTCTGTCTCTGTATCTCTCTCTGTGTCTGTGTGTCTATGTCTCTGTCTCTGTGTCTCTCTCTGTGTCTCTCTGTGTGTCTGTATCTCTGTGTCTCTGTGTCTCTGTCTCTCTGTGTATGTGTCTCTCTGTCTCTCTCTGTATGTCTGTGTGTCTATGTCTCTGTCTCTGTGTCTCTCTCTGTGTCTCTCTCTGTATGTCTGTGTGTCTATGTCTCTGTCTCTGTGTCTCTCTCTGTATCTCTCTGTCTGTCTGTGTGTCTATGTCTCTGTCTCTGTGTCTCTCTCTGTATGTCTGTGTGTCTATGTCTCTGTCTCTGTGTCTCTCTCTGTGTCTCTCTCTCTGTGTCTCTCTCTGTCTGTCTGTGTGTCTATGTCTCTGTCTCTGTGTCTCTCTCTGTATGTCTGTGTGTCTATGTCTCTGTCTCTGTGTCTCTCTCTGTATGTCTGTGTGTCTATGTCTCTGTCTCTGTGTCTCTCTCTGTGTCTCTCTGTGTGTCTGTATCTCTGTGTCTCTGTGTCTCTGTCTCTCTGTGTATGTGTCTCTCTGTCTCTCTCTGTATGTCTGTGTGTCTATGTCTCTGTCTCTGTGTCTCTCTCTGTATGTCTGTGTGTC